CCCTCAACCCAGGTGTGTCAAGTTGACATTAAAGCTATCCAGCACAGAGATAGAGACAGAGAAAGCAACAGAGACTGAGACATGCACATGGGGAAATGAAATTAGAAGAGAGACTAGAGGAGAGAAGTTTAATAGGAGAAAGAAGGGGAAATGGGGAAGTTAGGCGGCTATGATAAAATATATAGTATACTTGAGAGACACTGCTTTAATGAAGCCTATGTACAAAGAGCATATACCAAGAAAGAATTGTAGTTTCAGTAAGAGGGCTCCACAGGTGAAGGGATTTGCCACTGAGACTGATGGTACACAAGAATTCAATCACCAGAACTCACATGGTAGATGGAGAGAATCGAGTCCCAGAGGTTTTTCTCTGACCTCTATAAACAAACCATGGCACACATGCACGCATACTACTACACAAATAGAGAGAGGAAGAGAGAGATGAATATACAATAAAACACTGAAATAATTTATAAAAATTAAAGGAAGAAATGGACACCATTAAGGGAGTGAAGAACTCTAGGAGCTAGGAAAAGCAAAAGACATACTCTCTTCTAGAGCTTCCAAACAGGACTGCAGCCTGTCACCACCTTCTCTTCAGTCCGTGAAGTCCTAAAATCTCTTTCTGACTTCCATAATTATAAAAAGAATAATTTTCATGTTTAAGCAACAAATTTTGTGGTAAATTATTGCATAAGAATTAGAAAGATATAATACCTGATCTTTTCTGAATTTTCATATAAATATTCCATACAAAAAAACCTGAGAAATTGAACTTATTTTTTGCTGAGCTCTAAAAACTTCCTCATTAGTGAGAGACATGCCGGCAGTTTGGCAGATGGGGGGAGTATGCAAGATACTGGCTGTGTGAGGTCTGAGCAGCTGGTGAAACCCTCAGAGGTTTTTGTTCAAGTGTGAAGCAGTATGGGAGGAAAGTCATAATCCTGCTGACAGAAATAATCTGCCAGGTCTTCAGCCTAGACCCTGCTGATGCTGAGAGTGAAATCTGTCCCAGATCCACTGCCAGTAAACCGATCAGGAACCCCAGTCTCCTGTGTGGATGCCCAGTACATTAGCAGCTTAGGAACCTGCCCTGGCTTCTGCTGGTACCAGGCCAAGTAGTTCTGGTCTGAGCTATCATAAAGACTCTGGCTGGACTTGAAGCTGATGGTGACTCTCTCTCCTGCTAACATAGTCAGGGAGGCTGGAGACTGGGTCATCACGATCTCCCCACAGGCACTTGTAATCAGGAATAGACAATGATCATACATTACATCAAAGATCAGATTTTACAATATAAACATTTAAATTGACATTTAAATGGTCTTGTTATAGTATTTTATCGGTATATTATTTTTTTAAGAAAGATTATACCCTAATACAGATTGTGGTTCTTTTATACAAAGATGTGACGCTGAAAAGATTGTAATATTTTAAATTTCTCACCAGACACCGAGTGCAGCAGGGATATGAGGACTTGTGTCTGTGACACCATCTTGCTGCCTCTGCCTGTCTGAAGCAGTTTAGTTTCATTGCAAGAGCTTTGTTTATAAATTCAAGAACCTGGACTGGTCTGGAGGGACCTATGCAGAGCAACCAGCAAATAAAAATGCAAATTGCCGGGGCAGTGAGTGTGAAAGTATTTGATATAAATCAACAACCCAAAATGCCATCACAGAAAACTTAAGTAATGACAGGAAATGATCAGTTATCAGTTCTCAAGCAACAAACTACTAGCAGTTCTAATGCCAGGCTTCAGTTTAAAATCCAAGGCATATTTCAATTAGTTGAGTTTTAAATAAATGTTAGGAAAGCTATCTCAGATTGACAATGCTAGAAGAAGAATAAAACATATTAGAAAATCACAATGATGAGAGAAAAAAGCAAGAGGAGAAGGAAAGAGAAAGGAAGGAAAGAAGGAAGGAAGGGGGGGAGCGAGGGAGGGAAAAAGGAGGGAGGGAGGGAGGGGGGAGAAAAGACAAAGAAAGAATAAAAGAAAGAAAGAAAGAAAGAAAGAAAGGAAAGAAGAAAGAAAGAAAGAAAGAAAGAAAGGAAAGAAGAAAGAAAGAAAGAAAGAAAGAAAGAAAGGAAAGAAAGAAAGAAAGAAATGAAAGATATAGTATGTTTCTGATGATCACTAAGAAAGAAAGAAAGAAAGAAAGAAAGAAAGAAAGAAAGAAAGAATGAAAGAAAGAAAAAGAAACTATGACAGAGGCAAAGAGAAACCCAGAAATCACTCTGTGAAACTTCTGGGAATGCCAACTGAACCTGGCCTAAAACAGGCTTTAATCTCAAAATAAAGGCAGACTCCAGAAAAAAAAAAATTATTAAGCATCCTTCACACACCTACTGGTTACTGAAAGGGGAATCTAAAGAAGTGGAAATTGGAAGAGGAAGGCCAACTAGAATTTCTTCAGAAAGCCATGGTTATAGATCAACAGAGCCAAAAGGCTTTACTCAAAATGCAATTTTAACCGGGTTCTAGAACTCAGCAGTATTGGCACTGGGTTAAAATGATCTTAATGACATGGTGTACTTAAAAATCTGTCTATCAAGGGATAACACCATTCAAAATCCAATGATGTGTTTACAGGGTCCAGTAGGCTGCAGTGTTGGAAAATGTCGGTGCTCTTTAAAAAAAAAAAAAAAAAAGGAATAGAAAAGGTTAATAAAATATAGTAGGGTGAGAATGCATATCTGTAATCTTGGAACTTGGGAAGCAGAAACAGGAGGATCATGAGTTTGTGCCCACCCTGGGCTCCATAGCAAGTTCTAAGGGAGACCAACATATACAAGGAGATAATCTCTCTCTCTCTCTCTCTCTCTCTCTCTCTCATATGTGTATATATACATATATATGTAATCAAGTGGTTAAAATGTAGCTCAAGTTATTTTATATCCAAAGTAAATCATATATCTAATGTTGAAATTTATCATTAGATCTGGAATGCCATTTTTAAAATCATATATGTATTTAATTAATATGCTCTCCACTTTTATATTACTTTTATGCATTCATTTTCCAGGCATAAAATATTAAAAAAACATTTTATATCAAATTAAAACTCGAGAGATGACTCAACAATTAAGAGTACTGGCTGCTCCTGCAGAGGACCCAGGTTTAAATTCCACCACCCATGTGGCAGCTAACAACCACCTGTAACTCCAGTTCCAGATCGAACTCCCTCTTTTGGCCTCCTTGGGCATTGCATGAAATGGGTGCATTTATATGCATACAAGTAATACACACATACACAAAAAATAAAAATATAAATATTTTTTAAAAGAAAAAGAAACATATGAAACAAATATGATGTGATTGAGGAACTTCCCAGCTTCTAAGCTCGTTTATGAAACACACGCACCAAAAATATATGAAAAGTGAGTAACTCTGCCCCAGTCAGTGTCTAAACTGTCATCGTGTCATCTAGAACTTTGTACTTTGCTGTGTGTCTGCTGCAGTGACTTCATATTTGTTGTCTTTTCAGTTACTACAACTTAATTGGAATGGACAGGGATGGAGACAGGGTCTTACAAGCCCAAAGGAATGCTGCAGTAAAACACACATGCGTCTCACAGTATGTAAGGAGAGAACATGGACATTCCAAAGATAATTGTCCACAGTCTTTTAAGTATAATAAAAAAGCAATACAGAATACTGTTACTGCTTTTGAAACAAATCAAGTTTCCATGACATACTATGCTATATTAGGTTTTGTGGTCTGTGTTTATCAAGGACCACAAAACCATTGGCTGAAAACAACACAGAATATTTCTCTCACACCCTAGGAGAAACGAAAACTGAACTTGACCACCTTGAGCTCTTCTGAAATAGCACTCAATTCTTCTCAACAAAATTGTGGGACCCAGGGAACATCAGGTTTAAATTCAAATCATCCTGAGACATTGCAAGGGTAAACTCAACCTTGCTATTATAATACATAGAATCTTCTTTTAGACACACATGAGTGACTGGGACTACTCAATACTCATGAAAAGAGTAGACACTGAAGGATTTTCAACAATAATTAATACAAAATTTTAATATATAATTTTCTTTTGTTAAGCTATACAGGATTGTGCACACCTGGAATCTCATCCCTTAAGAAGGTGAGGTGGGGGGATTATTACAAATTTGAGGTCAGCTTGGTATACAAAGCTAGTTTGGGCCTAGGATAGAATATAGAAATATGTGTAGAACATAGAAATTTTCTGTCCTTTTAGAAAATTAACCTAATTCATTATGTCAGAACTGTCCTCTTAAGAAATGCATGATTTTTTTGGCCTGGAAAGATGCTCAGTGGTTAAGAGCAATGTCTGCAGTTCAGTTCCAGAAGACCTGAGTTTCTTTCTCAGAACTCAAATCTAGCTGTTAACAACCACCTGTAAAACCAGCTCCAGGGTATCCAACGCAACCTTCTGGTCTCTGAGGAAATCCAAACACATTGGCATACAAATACACACAAAAATGAAAGTAATAAATAAATCTTTAAAAAAATTTGTTTTGATATATATATATATATTATATATGTACAGGTATCTAGGTAGTATATATAGATGTATACATCTAAAAGGAGTCCTGAATAAATGGGCTTTTCAACAGGATATTGGGTTTGTCGTAGAAAAAGATTAATTTCCTTCTTAAAAAGTTCTTTGTTTGAATACATTTATGAACTTTAAATCATTGGGTCCAGAAAAAGAACTTCTCTAATATTTGTTTATTTGCATCATTCCTATGTTTCACTTGCTATCAAAAGTTACAGAAACTTGAGTACTAGCTCTATTCTCTGGCTGCTAATGGAAAAAAAAAAAAAACTTCTGAAGATCTGTAGTTGTGAAATAAGAGCAGGTTCTTAATATTTACTGATAAATGAGTTAACAGAGTGTATTTTCTCCTCCCAGAGATTCACCAGCATGCACACATCCATATCTCTGATGCTGTCTTAGAGATTCAGGGGTGTTTACACCCTGTCTTCCCCCACAGATCTCAGGCATCACCATGGACGTCTGAAGACTGATTCGGGCAACCTAAATTTTTATCTCTATTTGTTTTCCTTCAAATATAACAGATATTTATATCACTTGGCTCACCCTAGGGGCTTCCTACACATGTGTAGATCTTCTAGCCCACCAGGAGATTTGCATATTGTTCCCTGGGGAGGCATTTCCATTGCAAGTTCAGTTCCAGCCTTGCCTGGATTTATCTGGAATCCTTAGTTCATCTTCTCAAAATGAGGATTTCTCTTCAACTTCTGGTTGTGCTAATGTTCTGGACCCTGGTACGGACAGGGCAAAGAGTACAAAGTATGACATAAGTGGGTGAGCTTTGGGACCCTGATGCCCATGTGTGTTCTATGTACAGATCTTGTGATATTTAGAACTGTGAGTTTGAGAGAGACTCCACAAGAGTAGGTTTCTGCAATTTGATGAAGACTGTCAGAGAGAACAAGTGTAAAAATTTAAGAAAATCCTACAATGTGACTTAGTACATCTTGGGTCCTTATGTAAAATGTAATATTTGTGATTTGTAAAGCAAAATCACAGCAATAATTTAGTCTGAATTACAAAAATTTTAAATTATAAGTTGAACGATGATGTGTGTATATGACAGTAAACTTCCTCACTTTTTAGGATCCATTGGAGATAGTGAGAAATTTTATTGATTCAAGATTTTCATACAATGAATTTTCATTATATTCAGACCTCTCCAAGTCGCCCTTTCATCCCCACTCCATTCCTGACTTTGTGTCTTCTATGTGCAAATGAAAAACTCCATCCATCTTACATAACACATCTGAGCTGGGTGCCAGAGAAATCATATTTCATTAGAGTGTCAGTGATCTCGATTGCTTGCTCTGAGGCATACTATAATAAGGGTCCACTCCCTTTCCTTTGTATGTGGTTTGGAGTCAGAATATGCCCAGGTTCATTGGAATGGGGTTTTCACTCTTAATTTCTGTTTGTCTTACACACTGCTTAGGAATGTCAAGTAGGAGATTTCTTTTTTTCTCAACATTCAGAAATATTTGGTTCTCTTCATTAAAGTTAGTTGTTCAAAGCTCTTGTATGCACACATTGACTATTTCCTGACTTCCCTCAACACAATGACCTCATTGTGTACCAAGGTGTTCTCTAACCAGTTGATTTTTCTCAGGGTTTTACTGGGGGTAAAAGAAGAATTGAGGCCCTCACAGCAGGCAGCGATTAGCTCATAGGCCACTACTTCAAGATACTCTGATTGACAATTGGGAGGTTTCACAGATTCACATGACAGCTTTATACCAGTGTCCTCTAGTGTATTTTCTGAAATCTGTAGAATTCTCAGATTCCTAAAGTTTTTGAGGACTGCAACCAAGTCCTGAAAGCCACTAGGTGATGATTATAGTTGGCTGACCATGGATATCATCAGGGCATTCTGATAGGTGGGCAGTGTGGCTTAGCTCTGCCCCACCAGTGTACCATGAGTGGCCAGACCCAGTCAATTCACCCTACAAG